AAGCGCTGCCCTGCCCCTGCCTGCAGCCGGGAGGCCCTGCGCTCTCGGTCCGATTACCATCCCGCTACCAAAACAGTAAGAGAGGCTCAGCAGACAGGAAGCCCCACCTCATCTCCGGTACCAGCTGCTGGGGTTCACGCACCCGAGATCCCCTTCACCCCCACCTCTGGGCTGGGGTCCTCCACCTCGGCACTGCTGGTGTTTCAGGTGGGTGATTCTCGGGGGGGGGGGTGGCAGTGGGAGGCGCCGTCCTGTGCAGGACGCAGGGCAGCACCCTGGCCTCGGGACCCCAGATACCACTAGTGACCCCTGCCCCCGTAGCTGGACGGAGGCCCGGACTCACTGTCTGTCAAAATGAAACAGACATCCTTTTCCATCCAAGAATCTGCACAGCTGGGTCTGCAAACTGGCGGCCCGGAGAGCGGCCGCTGAAGGCTAGCACCGGACCCCAACAGGGCGTCTGCTCAACTGCCATCGCCTCCCAGGCCGAGTGACTGGACGGCACACTGGAGGCTCCACGTGACGTTCAAGAACATTCTTAGCCTTGCTGTCTCTTAGCTCCTCCATCAGGAAGTAGGGTCCTGCTCGTCAACAAGTCAGTAGAGCAGAAAAATGCCAAGACATCTTCCAGATAGGCTCCACCTGGAAAACGCTGGAAAGGGAACAGAATGGGGACCTGCAGTGGGTTAAAGTGGCTTGCCACTCTTTGCCAGGGGGCTCCCGTCAGCTGTGTCATCTGTGAAGGACGTCTGCCCTCAGACGGATGAACCGACCATCTGTGAGCAGCTGAATGTGCCCTGAAGCAGCCCTGGGTCCCGGGCGCTCACGTCACTGGAAAGTCACTGTTCCTTCCTGTGCTTGGTTAATTCAAGTATCTTCCAGACGAAGAATCAGACCGACCAGGGTCTTGGAGAGGATGAGAGAAATCCCCGTGAGGCTCCCCACCACCCCCAACTTGTCCAGGGAACTTTCGGTCTTGTAAAACAGAAACAGGAGACCGGCTCTTCCTTCTACCATCGTCTGCAACCATAGCTCCCGGCTTCACTGCCTGAGAAGCTGAGGCTGAAATTCCCCAGAAATTCCCATCTTGGGGTTTGCTCTTTGGGGACCAACTTATGAGCTACTCGTTGACAAAGCTTAATTCAGATGGTGTCCTTTTGTGAGAGCCGGACTTGGGGACTTTCGGGAAAACACACCATTGCCTTTGTCCGTGGGGACCTATTTTCAGAAACCTCCCAGCATCAGGCTGCTCTCCAGAAGGGCATCAGGGTCGCTGAGCTCGGCTAACAATAGAGGCGTTTCTTTGCGCTCACTGGAAGCTTCCATTGTTTGCAGGATCGCTGCTGGTCACCCCACCGCTGCCTAAAGGGGTCCTGAGAGCAGCGACCCGCGGAAAGAATGCTGAGAAGCCCACGCACGCTCAGACGCTGGTGAGACGCGTTTAAAGTAAAAACGACACTCCCGTGAGGCGGAACGCGGGTCTGCCCTCCACCATTGCTCATCCGGACACGGGAAGCGAACAACCCCCTCCCCCGAGTCCCCCCTCACAAGGACGAAGACAAAGAAAATTCCTCAACGGCCCAAACCCCGAAATACCCCGGCCCACGTGCCCGGGCGCGGCCCGGCCTCCGGCTGGCGGGCCTCCGGGGCGCTCCGACGGGCCGCTGGTCCTCGCCCCGTCCCCACGCCGTCCCCCAGGGATTCGGAGCTGTGCGGCACTCCCTTCCTTCAGCCGCTCCTGGGTGCGTGAAAGACACAGGGCAGGCGGACACAGAGAACCGGCCGGCGGAACCCCCAAATGGAGCCTTCCTCCAATTTAAACTTCCTTTTTTGTTTGAGGGATTCAAGATTAATTTGTCAGAAAGTCATAAATTCCCAATCCAGATTCAGCCAAGGGGCCTGCAGTTTTTTGTTTTTTGTTTTTTTGGCTGCTGTCTTTTCTGACAGAGCTGAGCATCTCCTCAGGGCAAGAGGCACTGGGCAGGTGCTCCAGGGGACACGTGTGACATTCCCGAGAAGCCCTCCGTCTTCACAAGGCGCTGCGAGCTGCGAGCGAGGCGGGACGAAGCCCGCGCACCGCGGTCGCATTCTGAACAGTTCTCGGCGCCCAGGAGGACCGTGGCGGCTGGAACTGCTCTCCTTACGTGGCTGCCTGCTGGCGGCTCCTACCTTCCCCCAGCGTTCTCGGCAGAGAAGGGGCAGTGTTGTGTGCTACAGGGCTGTCCGGGCCGGTCTGGTCGCCACGACGCCACAGGCTGCACCTGGGTCCTCCAGAGCCTCGAGGGCAGCCAAGTGGGGGTGGTGCACAGACTGTCTCACTCTCTTGTAGGGAGAACGTACAACTTATGCTATTTACAAAAATTAGATTATGATTTTAGCAGAAAGCTTTAGTTTTAGCCCACATTTTACCAACCAGAAAACTCTAGAAACTGGTATTTTGGATTTCCAGATCACATATTTAATTTAGCCACAATGACAGAAGCCCAAGGCACGTGCAGAGAGCACCAGACTGGGTTGTAGGTCATTGTCGCTGTCCGCCATTGTCGATGGCTGAGGGTAAGCCTACCAGTTCTCTGCCTAAGTTGTTGCAGATGCTGCCAGCTTAATGCTTCTGTTTATTTCTTTGATTTAACTTTTGGTGACTGTCGCTTCCTTTCTCACCCTCTGCTTTCTTCCTTCCCTACCTCCCTCCTTCACCAAATGCTACGTACAACCCCAACTCTAGTTTCCAAACACTGAGTGCCCAGAGCTTTCGTTCCAGTGTGTTTCCTGTCCCACATTACTAAAGGTGGGCAGTGCCCACACATTGGCTAGAACAGACCCTACTCATGATTTGCAAAATAGCTTCTTAATGGGCGACCTAATATCAAAGCAAATGGAGCTCTGCCGTCATCAGAGCTTGGGTAACGGTGGCGGTGAGAGTGATGGAAAGGCCGGGTGTGCCTGCTGGGGCTGGGCGCCGAGCAGCTGCAGACGCGTCCGCCCCGCCCAGCACCGCCCCAGGCCCCGCGCTCACCTTCACGGCGTACTCGGCGTCCGTGGCCTTGTGCACACACCGCTTGCACACGGAGTAGGAGCCCACCCCGATGTCCTCCTTGATCTCGTAGCCGTCGGTGAAGTGGATGTTGTTCCCATGTAACTGCTGCAGAGAGAGCAGGCGGAGGGTCAGAGGTCTCTCGTGCAAGGGGACAGCCACAGGTGCACGGGACGCGGGCGCAGAGGGACACTCCAGCTTGCGCACATGGGGACCCTGAGGCCAGGAGGCAGTGGAATCCTCTGACCAGGGTCACAGAGCTGGTTAGCCATGGCTCCAGATCTAAACCCCAGCTTCCCAACCTCCCGGGTCAGGACCCTGTTCTTAGACACCACAGGACCCTGTGTTGGCTGACCGGCCGTGTTTCCCCCAAGGAGCCGAGAGTAATAATCTGGAGTGAAAGGACGCCACCCCTGTAGGTGCAGGGTGTCTGGATGTCAGCGTGTGATTGGGAATCTGCCCCTAGGATGCCCTTCACACCCCGCTTCTGCCCGTATACACCACCTGCCTATGCAGAGTGTAGACGAAGTCACCGATAACGGTGGACAGTGTCACAGCATCCCCAGTGCCGTGTGTCTCCAAGAGGCCTCAGGAGAGCACCATGGAAACCCACCGCCATCCACGGTGTCCTGACTCGGCTCGTGGAGGAAATGCGGTCATAATTCCTTCTCAGAGTTTCCTCATCCACTTACGTTTATAAGGTGGGAGGCTCCTCACAGAAACAGCACCTTCAGCCATCTCTGTCTCTGAAGACAACATTTCAGGGCAGGAACCGGTGCCCACAAACCGAGCCTCTCTCTTGGGGTGCTGGCTCGACTCTGCATGGCAGAGACCCCCAAGTGTGGCCCCTGTAGGGGCTCCGGCCACAGACACACCATGGTGCCATTCTTCCCAGGAGTCTCCATCTTTAGGGTGAACGTGAAGCCTGGTGCAGATCACCGTGGCTGACACTCAGGGACTCAGGGAGGCGGGGGAGGAGCTTGTGAAGGATGTGCACCCCACCTTCGCAGAGACAGCTCAGCTCACGGGCCACATCAGGGCTGAACTCCTCACCCTGAGCTGCTCGTGGGGGAGTGAACGGAATCGGGCTCGACAGAACCACTTGTATGATAGGGGACCACCTGCAGGATGGGGGACCACCTGCATGATGGAAAACCAATTACACAATGGGGGATTACCTGCACGATGGGGTGAACTGTGGCTTTGTGCGGATCTTGCTGTGAGGGCTCCTGGACCAGGCTGGAGGCCACAAAACTGAATCCTCTGAACAGATGGTGAGCGTTGGCGCTGGGGGGAACGCCAGGCGAGTCTGCAGGCGACAACAGGAGAATCAGCCTTCTGGGAGGAGCTGAGCCACTACGTGGTATGGTAACCCTGTGTGTGTGTGTGTGAGGTGTGAGCATGTGTGGTTGTGTGTGAGGTGTGTGAGTGTGTGGTGTGTGTGTGCTGGAGAAGGAGGCAAACAGAGATCAGCCAGGCGGAGCCATGTTGAGCCACACTTTATTCTGGGTGGGGCCAGTGACTTGATACATGGTAAAAATACCTAGAACAAAACTTCAGGACCATCACTGATCAAAATTCACTGGATATTCTCAGCGCAGCCCCCTGCCCTGCCCACTCCAGAATGAGCCCAGCCCGCAGGGTGACCTGTCCCTCAGGGGCCGGGCCCCAGGCACTCGGAGCACATGCGCAGCGCAGAGGGTGCTCCGCTCTCCGGGGACACCCTGGGAAAGTGGGCAGGACTGTGACCGGAGCAATGTCCTCTAATTGTGACTCCTCTAAGCTCTGTCATTTTGCTCAAAAGTTTGAGGCTGTAAGCCTGGTCCCACTTCAAGTTTATCGTTAAGTAAAACAAAAGGATAAAAGACTGGCGGGGAGAGAGTGTCTGTACCACACGTAACAGACCAGGGGCCAGGCTCTGTCAGGCAAGAGCTCCCAGAGATCACCAGGAAAACAGGAAAAAGCCCAGAAGAAAAGTGCGGGAAGGATGCGGAAGGACTCTGGCTGCTCCCCTGCCTGAGAAGGATGCCCAGTCCCTCCTACGGGCAAGTCCACACTTAACCCAGGTAATGCTGCCTGGGAGACCAGCAAAACTGCAAGCAATCAGTCACATGCGGGTTTGGCGAGGGCTGGACGTGACAGCGGTGGGAGCAGAAGCTGGCGCAGCCTTGGAGGGCTGGCGTGGAGGACCCACCAAAATGAGGAACTCACGTGTCTTTGGGAGAGCAACTCCACTTCTACCAGTTTATCCCACAGAAGTACTTTCAAAGGTGCTTCGAAATGAATGTACGAAATGTTTCTCTGAGCAATATTTGTAACAGCAAAAAAATTAAAAAAACAAAACAAAACTGGAGACAGCCTGACTGTTCACCATCAAGGAAGTCGCAGGCAAGACCACTAAGATGCACCTGAGTCAGGGTGCCTGGTCACAGCGTGCAGGTGACGCTGCAAGACCACAGCAGCAAAAAGAGGAAACAAGCACGTGCTTGGCAAGCACGAGGTCCTGGGTTCAGTCCCCAGCACCTCCATTAAAATAGATACATAAACCTAATTATCTTCCGCCTCCAAAACAAACAAACAAAAACTGTCAAAAGAAGAGAAAACAAGCTGTACAGCATACAAAAAATTACAATAAAGTAGTAAGTAATATGTGACAACAAACAGCAAAAATCCTACAAGTTACATCATAAATTTATCCATCTACGATAATACATAACGTATGTAATACGCATTTAGAGTTCTCTCACAAGGCGCCTGTGTAAAGGCGAAACCCACGTGACACAGCACGCCCTGGCAGCGGCCCTGGGGGGGCCGCAGGACTGGGTCTTCGCTTTTCTACTTTCTACCCGTTGACTTCCTTTCAATACTTAATTTTGAGGCGGAAACGATATGCTGGCTCATGGGGGAGTGGGCGGGGGTGGCTGGGAGGGGCGAGCCGCCGCAGAGAATGAGGGCTTTTGCCCCCCAGTGTTTCACTCTGGGGGAAAGGGGGTCGGGGCGCTCCTTCCACACCCAGGAGCTAAACCACGAGCGGAGTGCTCCGTGCTCTCTCCCAGCAGATGCCCGGCTGGCCCGCATCCCACACGGCCCTTCCAAGGCGACCTCGCCAGGTGCCAGGCTGGGGGCTTCGTGTGCTCGGCCACCTTCAGCGTCCTGGACCACGAGGGCGCGGCACTCAGGTCACTGCCCTCGACCTGACACCTCCCAGGGGCTGCACAGTCTCCCTCCCACCCACCCGGAGTTAACGCGACCAGGGCTGACTGCGCTTGGAAGTAAGCTGCCAACGTGCTCGAGAAGCTTTAATTAAAAGACAGAAGGCTCGGCGGAGTAGCTTTCAGAACGTGGAAACGCTGCGCCGGGAGAC